TTGCCCTGGGTAGAGTGTCATGGCATCATAGCTCACAGCAACTCCCAATTCTTGGGCTCAAGCAATCTTCTTGCCTCAATTTTTCTATTTTTAGTAGAGACAGGGTCTCGCTTTTTGCTCAGGCTGGTCTCAAACCTGTGAGCTCAAGCTATCCACCTGCCTCGGCCTCCCAGAGTGTTAGGATTGCAGGCGTGAGCCACTGCTCCCGTTGCTCTTATGGTTTTTGACAATTTCTATTCATTGGTTTTGACTACCTAGGGCTCAGTTAAAAAGGTTAGGGAAGGTGAACGTGTCATAGCTGATTAGTGGTATCTGCTGGGGACATGTCAGAAGGGCTGACCTGCAATAGGCAAGGGGTTCTAGGTGCCTGGAAAAGGCATAGCTAGGCACAGTGGCAAATAGAAGGACATGAATAAAGTTGCCAGGGCAGAGAGCATAGCATAAAAATAGAAAACAGTTTAGGGTCAAGCTTTGAGGAAATTCATCTCCTAGAAGTTAAGTAGGGAAATAGGAAAGATCAGGGGAGTCAGAGAAAACCAGAGATGATAATGCTGTAAAAACCAAGGGAACTGGTGTTTCTAGAAGGATTAAGTGGTCAGCAGTGTCAGGTGATACTGAGAGGTCTGGAATTGGGGCAGCAAACTTTCTGCAAGGGGCCAGAGGACAAATATTTTCAGGTTTGTGAAACATGTGGTTTCTGTCTCAACTGTTCAATTCAGCCATTGCAGCGTGGAAGTGGCCACAGATCCCATGTAATTGAGCAGTGTGGCTATAGTCTAATAAAACTGTGTTTACAAAGACATGCAGCAGGCAAGATTTAACTTGTGGGCTATAGTTTTCTGATCCTGTTCTAGAAGATGAGGGCTGAACAAAGGCCATTGCCGTTAGCTGGATGGGCATCTCCTGGTAGGCTGAGGGGATGGACTGGGGAGAAGGGAAGATAGAGGATGGTGGTGCTGGAGGTAGTGGGACCAGGGGAGGTTTTTTATTTCAGCGTTTAAGTGCTTATGTCAGTGGTTCTCAACCTTCCTAATGAAGCGACCCTTTGATACAGTCATGTTGTGGTGATCCCCAACCATAAAATTACGGTTGGGGGGTCACCACAGCATGAGGAACTGTATTAAAGGGTCGCTTCATTAGAAAGGTTGGGAACCACTGGCTTATGTGAAAGAGCCCTCAGAGGAGAAGTTGGAGGTACAGAAAGAAAGGGGGGCTGGGAAAAGGAGCCCTTAAGATAGGAGGGAAGGGCGGGTGAGCACTGACATTGTGTGGACACCTTTGGTGGAAATGCGGGCACAGGGTCAATACTGTAATAAGGAATCAGTAAAAAGTCTGAAAAAATAAGAAACTGGAAAGCATTCCCTGCCCTAACTAAATGGGTTATTCTGGAAAGAGACCCAAGGCAGCCTTTTGTGCCCCACTCAACCGCACACTCTATTTATCCCATTTCTGTTGGCTTTTAAAGTAATTATTTACTTATATAGACCCACAAACCTTTAGCCATAATTTAAAAAATGCAGAAAGTTCTAATGAACGGGGTTTACCCAAGTTTTGGTTTCCATTTGGTGGCAAGACCATACTCATTTAATGATGTGAGGCTGTCACTGTTGTTATGCCTCCATTTTGGCTGAATTACTGTGTTTCTCTTAGAAATATTAACATGTGGGATTCCAGGATGCTACCCCAGAAGCTGCTGAGAGGGTTATGTCTTTTATGATGTGTATAAAAATTAGGAAGGAGATAAATTTCGAAAGTTGCTCAGCCCCAGTTGCCTGACATCAGCGTGTAAACCCGTATGTCTCCCTTCCCTACCTGATTTCAACCACTGAGCCCTTTGGATCTCTCACTGGGCTGGCATTGCCTCGCCCACACCACAATGGTTCAAATGACTCAGGTCAGTGAAAGAAGCTTCCTATATAAGTGACAGACCCCATCCCATTCACTACTTGCTCTGGTGTCTGGGCCTTCAGTGCTGTGTGGTCATCAGGTTGCTGTTCTTGTCACATCATGGGGCAGTTCTTCTTCTCGCAGGCACTCTGGCTGGGGTCATTGATCTCGCTGTTGACTGGATGACAGATCTGAAGGAGGGGGTCTGCCTGTCTGCCTTCTGGTACAGCCATGAACAGTGCTGCTGGACTTCCAATGAGACCACTTTTGAGGACAGGGACAAGTGTCCCCTATGGCAGAAATGGTCGGAGCTGCTGGTGAATCAATCAGAGGTGGGTATTCAGGCACGGTTCTGGGTGGGGACTTCTGCCATTCCACATGCGCTTTGCAATGTTGCTTGGCGATTTGGGCATGTATTTTCTAGTAATAGTTCATAAATGCTAGTATGACTTTGTTTTCTAGCTCTCAAACCTCACTTGGAAAACCAATCCATTGTTTCTTATATATATGTATTGTTTAAAGCCTCATGTTTGGTTTTATTTTTCTTATCAAAAGTGGTTTGTTGATCATGCTGAAGAAATAGGTTAATTTTTTTGATTTTTTTTTTTTTTGAGACAGATCCTCAAGCTGTTGGTTGCCCTGGGTAGAGTGCCATGGCATCACAGTGCACAGCAACCTCCAATTCCTGGGCTTAGGTGATTCTCTTGTCTCAGCCTCCCAAGTAGCTGGGACTACAGGCACCCGCCACAACGCCTGGCTATTTTTTGGTTGTAGCCGTCATTGTTGTTTGGCAGCCCTGGGCTGGATTTGAACCCACCAGCTCAGGTGTATGTGACTGGCACCTTAGCTACTTGAGCCACAGGCATTGAACCGTCTTCCATTGAATTTTATGAGTACATTTCAAAGGATGTTCTAGGCCTTTTTTTTTTTCGTTCTCGTTTTATTTTTATTAAGCACTATATAACATACTACATGCTGCATAAGATACTGTATAACCTTCTAGTAGGGGTCGATGACCATTACCGAGTTACTTTTTCATCCATCAGGAATATGCTTCCTTAATCAGTGTTCTCTAAACCCTTTGACACATGGTAACGATTAACTCCAGAGATGCACCTATCTCTTTCCATCAAGTGCCATTGTTGTACATAATGGGCAACTCTTTTTTCTTTGCCACCATTGGTGAACTTGTTGATGTATGCGGTCACCACTCCTGGGATGACCAAGCAAAAGCCCGTGGTGGCTAGTCCAGGGAGATTCTCGAACCACATCTTGACATAGTTACTGGGGCCTGTTCTGGGCCTTCTAAGAAGCGAATGTCTCAGGCATAGGAGATGTTGCACCACACATCTAGGGCGTGGCCTTATGGAATTTGAACTTCAGATCTTCATAAGGAAAGACCTTCATTCAGGAAGGGGTTAACTTCTGACAGTCAGTGGTTACCACAATGATTATGGGTCATTGAAGGATCAGAAAACCAGGTGGGTGGGGGACCCAGGCTGCCAAGCTTTACATTAGGGGTAATGTGAGGTTGCTCAAGCTAGAAATATTCTTGGAAGATGTATATGATCTATTTATACATCTCTTCCTTTCTGGTTTTTTTTTTTTTTGCCTGACTGACTTACCACAGCTGAAGACATTTGGAACACACTTTGCCATTTTACTAAACCTCTTTCTCAGTGGAATTGAAAATGAATTCCTTCAAATCTCAAAGTAGACAGGGATCTTGAAATCTCACACGTTCTCAGTGCTCTCCATTACTTCCAAAAGAAATTCTCTACTTGGGTTGATGGAAGGGGCAGGCAGAATTGGCTGCGGGCCATGTTTTACTTCTCCTCTTTTACTTGCAACGTGTGTTGTGGGGAAATATGGCTGTCCATCTTTTCAACTGTTTTTAAGATTTATACTTTGATTCAAAGAATTACTGTTAGTAAGAGTGAGAAGTTATTTTTAACCTCCACAAAAGTACATATTTAAGTGGGTGAAAGGTATTCCTGAGTCTGATTTCTCACCACATAGGGTGTGAATATATGTGCTTGTAAAGGCCAGCATAGTCTCTTGGAACGTGTTTTTGCATTTAATAGGCACACACATGTTCATGTCCATGGCCTGACTTGTAGGTGACCTCTCTTTTCTTCCCCCCTCGCTTGAGAAATCCAGATGGTGGCAAGAACCTAAGGCCTAGAGAAATGTGGTCTCCACTCAACAGAGCAGGTCCTTGATCTAAAAGGCCCCAGACTGTGTGTTTGGTTTAGAAAATGTTCTCCCCACATCAGGTAATTTGGAATAAATGGTTCAGTGAATTATTGAAGGAGACCAAGTTTTCCTCCTCTAATAGTGCCTCTCAAATGTCACCATGCATCAGAACCTCCTGGAAGGCTTGTTAGAACACACTTACCTGAGCCCTACCCAGAGTGTCTGACTTAGCAGCTCTGGCCTGAGTCCTGAGAGTGCATGTCTACCATGCTCCTGGGTGATGCTGTGCTGCCAGTCCACAGACCACAGTTTGAGGAGCGTGTTCTCAAATACGGTTCCAACCCGTGTTCACTGGGACTGCAGCTGCTTGCTGTGGTATAGGTGTGGCCTTAGTGAAAGCTGAGAGAGACCGGTCCACTGCGCACAAGGCACGACTATTTTTCCAGGGTCTCAAAGGTACAATTTTCTGTGTCATACATTTCATTAACTGCAGTGCAAGTGGTGATTAAAATGAAGCATCATTCATGGTTTTACCCAGTAGAAGCTACACGTATAAACAGCTCCTGGAGAAACACCCAGTGCTCTGTTTGTGTGTACTGACTGTAGCAATAGCAACAGCTGATAAAACCAGCACCAGCCTTTTTGTTTACGTAGGATGGGAACCAAACCTCTCTTGTCGTCAAAGCTTGTTATCATGACAGAGGAGGGGTAGGGTTGGGTACATTGCTCAGTTCTGCTGTGGCTAATGTTTCCTTTCTTGTTTTGTGTCTGCCATTTAGGGTGCCAGTGCTTATATTCTGAATTACTTAATGTACATCCTGTGGGCGCTGCTGTTTGCATTTTTGGCCGTCTCCCTGGTGCGTGTATTTGCGCCATATGCCTGTGGCTCTGGTATACCAGAGGTGAGTCGTGGCCAGATTTCTTTTGTACCAATAATAAGAATAGCAAATATTTCCATGGCACTGTTGTGCTAAGCACAATTCCAAGTATTTTACATATTCTTACTCCTCACAGTAAGACTGTGAGGTAAGTACTATTATTGTTGGTTTGATAGTTGAGTAAAGTGCAGAGAGGTTAAGTAACTTGCTCGAGGAAACCAAGCTGGTAAGCTGTGAGTTGAACCCAGTCTGACTTTAGGATTTATTTATACTCTATATTCAAGATTTCTGCTCTAGTGCTTTTCAGATGATTAAAGCCTTATTTTTGTGAACCAAGAATAACCCTTAAAGCGTGTGGAATCAGAGTTCATTAATCACACATATAAGTATAGCACTGAACTCACTCATTAGTGTGTCTATGATGTAATGTGAAAAAAGATAATAGTGTAGGTTTGTTGCTAAGAAAGTTTATGATGATCAAACTCCTTTACCATGTTTTGGTCTTCTGGTGATAAGGTAATGGCAGTTTTTAAAAACTTAATTCCACTTTCAGTGCATGTACTGTGCACATACCCCTGTACATTTAGAATTCTTTTCTTTTATCTTTGAAGAGTATTTTTGTTAAGATAAATCTAATAAAATTTCGTGCATACATGTATAATCAAAAACTGTCCATCTGAAATAAAAATTTATGTCTTTTTAAAAAATAGAATATAATTTTGTTTTTACCCAAGCTAATAATAAAGTTATATTTGGGAAAGATACACATAACTCTTAGTATTACATGAAAATAATTCACCTTCTCTATAAAAGCAACCTAGAGAACTACAAGAATGTTGAATGAAACCCTATCCTTTGGGATCCTCCATTTTATGAAATTATCACATGTATAAGAGTAGAATTAAAATGGAAAGATTTAGGGCAGGCTCAGTGGCTCAGGCCTGTAATCCTAGGACTCTGGGAGGCCAGGGCAGGTGGATTGCTTGAGTTCATGAGTTCTAGACCAGCCTGAGCAAGAGCAAGACCCTATCTCTAAAAATAGCTGGGCATTGTGGCAGCTGCCTATAGTCCCAGCTACTTGGGAAGCTGAGGCAAGAGGATCACTTGAGCCCAAGAGTTTGAGGTTGCTGGGAGCTGTGATGCCACGGCACTCTACCAAAGTGAGTAGAGTGAGACTACTCACGGCAGCAAAGTGAGACTCTGTCTCAAAAATAAATAAATAAATAAATAAATAAATAAACAAATACAAAAATTGGACGATATAACACACACAAAATGGATTTCACTGACAAAAGTTGAAAGCACATTTTTTCCATATATTCTGTTCCTATCATCCCAAATTTATAAAGGTTGTATGTTAGGAACTTTGTGGCTAATAATCAGTATGAAGATGTTCTGAAATTAAACTGATGCTACAGAAAAACTGTGTTTATAAAATATTTGATACAAATATTTGTCTCTGTTAACATTATAACATGAAGGTACATATTACCAAATGATGAAACTGTATGGGGCAGTTTTAAACAATACACAAGAGACTCCTCTTTTTCTCATCTTCTTTGACTTCTTTTTTGGCTTCTTTTTCAACTTCAGCCTTGTTTTCATCTGCTTTTTAATCTCTCCCATCTTTCCCATCTCCTTTTCCATCTTTTTCTTTTCTTTCTTTTTTCTCTTTTTCATCTTTCTGTTTTCTAGCTTTGTCCTCATTTCCACCTTCTTTTTCCTTTACACCTTCCTTGTCTTCACCTTTTTCTTTGCTTTTTCCATCTTTTCCCTCTTTTAAAAAATCTTCTTTGTCTTTTCCATCTTCATTCTCTTCTGCATCTCCTTTGTCTTTTCTGTCCTCTTCCTCTTTTTCATCTTCTTTTCCTTTTCCATCTTTGTCCTCTTTTCCTTTGTCTTCTTTTCCATCTTCTTATTTCCTGTCATCATCTTTGTCTTCTTTTCCATCTTTTCTTTTCTCTATTTTGATTTTCTTTTTCCTTTCTGATCTTCTTTTCCTTCTGTGACCACTGCTGCCTTCTTTTCTCCTCCCTCTTCTTCGACATCTTCAGTTTATTTGTCTTTTGTTTCCTCAGTTTCTTTTTCAGAAGCTAGTGCCTCTATAATTTTGGCTTCTCCATTTTCAGCATTTTTTTTTTGAGGCAGAGTCTTACTATGTTGCCCTTGGTAGAGTGCTGTGACATCACAGCTCACAGCAACCTCCAACTCCTGGGCTTAAGTGATTCTCTTGCCTCAGCCTCCCAAGTAGCTGGGACTGCAGGC